AGGAATGACATTAACAAAATAACAATACCAAAATACTTGTCGCCTTAAAAAGTTCAGCTAATGCCTAGAAATAAAAAGATACAGTAATTAAATTGGCTAGACGAATAGATAAAATGAAAAAATGAAAAAAATAAGCCAACATACTTATCTGCTAGTGTTAAGAGCTTGACTGTAACCTAAAAGAATAAAAAAAAGTTAATGGCTGAGCGAAATAGAGAGTTACTTTTTAGTAAGAAATAACATATAAACGCATTTTGTTAAATTTGCAACCTGTATAAAACTTTTGACGATTAAAATTTTTTTTGTTTCTTTTTTAGAAAATTATTTAGCATACTTTATTTACTAACTTGCACATAAATCGTTATAGTTGCCATACATAGCCATAATCATCATACATACGGCGTACATAGCTCTCCATACTTTACTACTCTTATTTCTTACGTTCTATCTGAAGCTAGTGTTTCAACAAAAAGAAAAAGAAAATAGTTTGTTAAAAATATCCTAATTAAAAAAGAAAGATACCTCCCTTCTCCATTTACCTTGTGTTTGCATTTAAGAAAGACGTTGTTCCTACAAATGAAGAAAAAGAAACATTTCTTAAATAAAACAAAACTTTTCACTATCTGACATTCAAGTCTAACGAAGTCTAACGGTATTCCTACAAAAAGGAAAAAGAAATGTTTCATTTGAAACATTTCTTAGTTAAAAAAAAACTCCTATTACCCCATGTCCAAGTCAGAGAGGAAAAGAAATGTTTTGTTAAAAAACATTTCTTAATTAAAGAAAACTTTCCTAAAATCAATTTACCTTAGGACTGTGTCTAGGATAAGGCCACACAAATTCGAATTTTCGGTTCACTTCACCCGGCCGGGTCACTTTTTCAAATTTCAATAAAAAAAAGTTTATATATAAAAATTTATCACGTGATCAGGACGTAATTTTATTGGCGGGTATGTTTATCACGCGGCTGAGAACTTCTAGAGCGAAAATAAATTCCTCCCTTTTAAAAGTCAACCAATCAAATGTCACGATTTTATATATAAACTTTTTTTATAAACCCTGGGTCCCCGGGTCGATTTTAAATTTCAATGTTACGTGAACCGAAAAATTGAATTTGTGTGGCCTAAAAAATACATTTCTGTAAGCGAAAACGGGTTTTTTAATCAATCTATATCCTATAAAAAAGGAATGTTCAGAAAACATACATAAAATAAACATAAAATGTACATTATACATAAAATGTCTATAGAATGTCCATAGAATACATAGGATATATGTAAAGGGGACTCATACTTTTTTGTACATTCTATATACAGTGAGCCCATTTTGTATATTTTTTATATATTTTATGGACATTCTATAGACATTTTATGTATATTGTATATTTTACGTATATATTCTAAACATTCCTTTTTTATAGAGTATATATAATGGTCACGCTATATGTTTTGCTTTATTGAGAAATTGAACAATGAGAACGTGATACACGACATACATCCTCACAGGAAAAGCGGGTGGACATCCGGACATTGCATATGACTTTGCGTAGAATTATCAGTTATATAGTCCTCCACTACGCTCCGAACTAAAAAAAAAATTATTTCATTTAATTGTATTATTGTTAGTGCTCCGCAAAATTCGGGTCTAACCCGGATAATTCAACCCGAGTGAATTTTAAATCGGGTCGGTACTAACAATTTTAATAACCCGTGACCCGCATGACCCGACCCGTCGGGTCGGGTTATTCATTTCCTTGACTCAGGTTTTGACCCGAATTAGACTCAGATAATCATTAAAATCACTGATCACATATTGATTACGCGTTAATATTAATTAATTTTATATAATTTTGTTAGATGAATGAGGTAGTATAGCGAAAATTGCTAAAGACACTTGCAATTACAGATATGTGTATGAATTATTATTAATTATTAATATTACATTAGCTAATAAGTTTATTTTGATAATTAATAAAGCAACCAGCGTTCCAGTAGAAAGAGTATTTGCCAGTGGAACCGATTTGATAGCTGCAAAAAGATGTAGTCTTAAAGCAGATACAATTAGAGCATGCATGTGTTTAGAGTCCTGGCAGTCATAAAATATAGTCAAATTTCTGTTAAAGCAAGTGA